TCAAAATCGTTAAATCTAACTTAAGACCACTGGTAGCAGTAGACATCTGTTTTTTCTTAGCAATGACGAGATTTTAATTATCACAATGAATGAATTTTAATTGCACCGTAGACAGAGTGTTACATTGACATATTCATATTTTTTTATTTTGCTTTTGCTTGTTTATGGAACAATTGAAACTAATTTGTTGGTTTAAAAAAGAATCGTAACTAAGTATAATTTAAACTTTATTTTATGTTCACATTTATATTTAAATAAACCATTCTCTTTTGGTTTAAAATAAAATACCACACTTAATCCCATAAGTAAAGGGTATAAACTTAACCATCCGAAAGTATGTCCTATTATGCAAAAACAGGCATAAAAGAACTTATGATGATAAAATAAATCTTTTGTTTTAATATAAAATATATTTTCATATCATGTCCTTGTTATGAAATAAAAAAACGAATATCCATAACCGTTTAACTATAAACCCACCTCATTCTCTGGTCACGTATTCATACCCTTTGGGATTGTTTTGCTCTACTGCAAACATAACACAGTTTTCACACAGATGTTTTTACAATTACTATTATCATTAACACTTTAAAAGACAATAAAAAAACCTTCAATTTTCCCAATTTGTTTAATTAAACTTATGACTATGAAAAAATGCACACTAAATATACATTTGAAAAGTTTAGTATTGATGATTCATAACTGTTATTAGGGAAGTTTGTTGATGATTTTATTTAAGATTGTTCTATCTTTATTGTTGTGTTTACTATGCAGTGTTCAAAATTTCATCAAATTGCAATCAGTTTTGGTTTAATTATACTATGTCATAGCACAGATTCAATAATAGTTTTTTACATGAAGAATTTATTTCTTTCGGACATGTTATGACTTCTCTAAGACTGTACAATTTTTCATTTATACTTATTTTTACTACGATATGTTTTTCTATTGATTATGTTATGAAAAAAATCATGAATTATAATTTGTGTTGAGCTAACATGCGTGCTTTTATCAATTGTTTTCTAATTAATTAGAACCTGTTTAATTAGCGACATACTCATCCCTGAAATATATTTGTTATATTAACCATAAAAATATTTAATATTTTTATTGAGATGTATTGTTTCAGTATTTGTATGTACATTACAACGAATAGTGATGCTATTACATCTCAGATTATATAAAACACTTCTTTCTTAAAGTAACTGAGAACTTGAAATAAAATATGTAAACACTACATCTTTTTAAATACGTATGGATTTATAGTTAATTTTTCCACTTTTTATGGCTTATATTTTGCACAACAAGGTTTAGCAAATAAAATGATTACCACTATTAAGAGAAAGAACTATTAGTAATATGATCCTTTGAATTCGCATATAAAATAAATGCATAAATATGACTCTGAAATACGTATTTTTTAGAACAGTTACTATTGATTTCTTATTAAATCACCTTTGGAAGAGAGTTAAAAAAAGGAAAAAGTTTGCCTTAAACACCTAACCTCTTTTTATAGTCAGAAACTAATAATGATTTGAACTAAAATTAATAAATAATTTGAGTGTTCAAAATTCGAAATTTTCTTTCAAAAAATTATAACGATTCCAGAATTTAACTTTGTTGCTATTGAGGGTAAGTTGCTGAAGCAATGCGATAGAGTGGTAAACACCACTCACAAATGTCAAACGCACAATGTCACTCCTAACTTTGTTGTGTTCTGAGGCTAGCCGACGTTGGTCGCAGAGTAGCGTCCAAAGAAACAAAATAATATTTTTTATTTTTTATTTTTTTTACTAAAAGTTTATGGTTATTTTATTTATACTATGAAATGTGAAAAAACGACGAGTGAAATATATTTGATTTCACGTAATTATGCACTCAACTTAGTATTTATTACTACTCTATTAATTGTCAGAAATTGAAGTCTATATATATTAATGTTAAAGAATAAATATTTGCAGCCTTTTTGCAACTATTTCATTTACGCTACATTCCAAGCATTGATATACACTTTTTATATCAATACCTTCTGTCCTCGTAATTTGTTTTAATTCTTGTCCTTGATTAAATATTTCGGCTCTTTACTTTACTCTTTATGCTATTTTATTTTTTCCCTTATCCATACCTACCTAAATCGTTAAACAAGTACTCACCTTTATATTTTGTTATAAAAACATATTATTTTTCACCACACTAAAATGTTAACAAACATTAGCAATACAAATAATGTTAGCAGTTTAACAAAACGCTTTTTGGAGGCCGGAACCTATGTATTGCTGTCTATGCCAGCTGTCATTGTCATTTTGGGGACCAAGGAGGTTTTTACATCCCAAGGGCCGAAAATCAGCTGCCCACTTACTTTCATAAAACATTAACGCTTATTAAATACACAATCAGTATCCATAGCATTGCAATAAAATTGTTTTATTGTCACCAATGCCTAGCAACTACATAATATATTTACTATAAATTTTGCTGATTCCTAAAATTATTTCTTACATAATTTTTAAGTTGTAGTTGCGTAGACTACCAGTGTGCACTATTATTGTGGTGAATTAATAGTGGTAATAGGGTATAGTGTGGTGAAAAATAGCGTTCGTACCACGGACCGAAATGGTTTTGCAGCTCTCGATCGTTTTAAGTTCTCGACATCGTCTTGAACTGAAAAACTACCTCGAGCCACAAAACCTCATTTTCGACCCTAGGTACGAAGTATACTTCCTATCAAATTGTGTGAGATATTAAACTATTTACTTGCACTTCCAAAGGTAAAAATATTGTAAAATATGTTTAAATTACCTTAATCATTCTTAAAACTTGTAATATTATATACTTAACAAAATACACGGAGAGTGTTCTTAATAGCTCTCTTTCTGACCAAAAACATTTAAAAACAAACTCTTCAAGGAAAGTAGGTACGAAATAAAACACCAAGGTAGAAAGTGCGAATCAAAGTTAAATTTATTGTGTGCATCTTATTGCAGTACCTATTGTTATACAAACTCTACGCTATTGTAGTTATTACCTAACTGGAAGCACTTTACCTAAGTAAAAGCGGGTGAAGTCAAGAACACATAGATTTGTCAGATGTCTCACAACCATGTTATAGACAGTATATCACAAACTGTATTGCTACCAGGACTGCCTCACCCTACATCTACTTGGTATAAAAGATTACATCTCAGCACGCTATTCAATTCTCCACAATATACTAACAGTTCACAATATAGCCAACGTATATTCGCTATGTCAAAATAGTTTTAGTAGAAAGAAAATACGTTTAAACTTCAGTCTAGTATTTTTTTAGAACTAAAATAAGAATTTTTATTGTTTAATAAGAAACGGTTTTTCAGTTAAACCTCAAATAATTCTCATTTGCACCCATTCTTTTCTACATTTATTTGTTATTGTTAGTTTTTCAAAATTAACTTAACAGTGTTATAGATTACGATGCAAAACTAAATACTATAGAGTACACACAACTATAAGTAAACATATTAAACTATACGGAAAATAGATAGGTACACTTTGCTATTGATAGGAAAATAGTAGTCAAAGGTAACTCTAAGATAACAGTTGATAGATTTTAAAATAACAAGAGATTGTCTTGGTTTGATTATAGATAAATATACATAGATATTTTTTTATTCCTTATATTACAAGATATTTGTTTGGATTGTCTGAAATAAACAGATAAAGGTATGAATATAATTAAAAGCTTTCCAACACTTTTTGAAAATATTTATTTATACTGTATATATTTACAGAACCGTAAATATGCATAACGAATAATGATGACGGATTTTGAATGCACTCATTAGTCATTATCAGGTCCAATAGAATGGTGAGATGATACAAATAATGTAGTGAATTTGAAACTTCTTGTTGCTGGGTATTTTGACCAAATAGTATTTAAGTGAGAACGCTGGTTTGATTGTTATGGTTTCAAATTGGATCTGGCGTTAGTATGAGTACTCAAAGTCGGTTACCATTGAAGCGTCTTGTACCGTCCTGTAAATCTTTACAGTATAAATTTAGATATATGAAAGGATATTAAAAGTTGTATTGTATTATATTCGTATGGATAAACAATCATCAAATGTTAATCTATTGCCTTTTAAATAAAACATAGACGCTGTTGAGCCAAAAGATGCACTAGCATATATTTTATGACAAAAAAGGAGCGATCAATGTTTAACATATACGTTACACTAACTGTATAAATATTCAACACATGAAAAGTATACAGTCAGCTGTATGTTAATGAACGAATTTTCATTCAAAGTGTTTTAAACGTATCAACATTTTAAGTGCTTAATTTGTTGCGTAAAAACAATATGATTTTAATAATCATTTCCACTAGTGGTGTTTCATACCATGTTATTTTGTAATGTCCATGTTATTTTTAGTTATCTGACCAGAAAAATTGAGTAATAATACACAATTAGTTAAAAGTAGCCATACGGTACTAAACTATCTACAAGAATCGCCTACATACCTTTGTCTATAACGTGTATCGGATCAGCTCGAAACGAGTCTCTTATTATTAACATAGTTAACGGCTTAGAAAAATATTTCAACAATTGTTGGGTCCCTTAGTCAGTTATCAAATACCTTTTCTACATATCTACATACAGTATCCCCCATTCCGTAGTTAAAGGTATAAATGTCTATGTACATAGGTTATGTGAGTTATATGTTTCTATAACTATAATCGTGTTTTTACGGATTAAGGATAAAATATAATTTAGTGGAATTCATATTATTTGTATAATAAAGAAACAGAAGTATGATAATTGTACATTCAAATCAAAATTAGTTTTAAAAACCTTACTAATGTGTTTGAGTTAAGTATATATAATAAAATTTTTTTTAGATATTCCAGTTTACATTTGTTAAACTAGAGTTTACAATGTTAAAGAGGTAAGGAAACTATAGTCAATTTTGGGACAGTGAATGTTATATTGATTAGTATATTATATTTTTAATTATTTGTAAGTTTTACATAGTCATACATTTTGTAAAATTTTGATAAAAAATTTACATCGTATAAATGATGAATTCACCTTTAAATGAAACGGTAGCGTGAATAATATTATTTTACTCATGGTTAGGTTGAAACGAAAATATACACCAAAAACATCCCAAATTAAAAAGATCATAGAATTGGTAAGTGTTAAGGGGAATAAGAATCATAAATTCCCAGCAAAAGTATACCAACTAAACTGACCAAAGAAGATTTTGTTTACATTTCGTGTATTTTTTTTAATATTTATTTACAGTTGTTCTAGTTATTAGTTGTGCAGTTTATAGTGTGATAAATGTGAACTCAATACTTAACATGTAAACTAAATCAATATGTACACATCTAAACTATTCTTTACAAAATAATACAGGATTTTTACAAATTTCAGCTAGTATAATACAGTTATCATTTTGAGCTAAGACAGTCCAATGCTACTAAATTCTTGCACTTGAGAAACATGTAGATTTCTTTGAATGTTGGTCTGGATTTCGGCTCTCTTTTCCAGCAAGCCTCCATAAGTTCGTAAACCTCTTGAGGGCAGATTGTTGGTTTCGGTAGTAAAATCTGCAATTAAGTCAATTTCACATTGTCAACAACTCAATTTTTTACACTTGTTCCTTGGTGATTATTATAATTATTGTAAAAAATATAATTGTAAAAAATATAATATGTAAAAAATACGCAGCCGAAATATATTTCCGCTTGCTATGAAGACTCCAAATACTTTTGTATGTGTTTAAGAATATATTTTAAATATGTTATTTTAAATTCAAACTGTCTTATCATACTTAGTTTGTAGCATCACATTGTTTATAATGCTGAGTACCTTTATAAAACCAGTAACTTATGTACCATTTGTTTAAGATTCACACAACAATTTGGTATTAATCGAACCTTTAGTATTTTTCTTTAATTCCCCCTCCTTGAAAATAGTTATGAAAAGCAAAATTTCGTGTTAAAAACTACAGTAAACATAAACATAACAACAAATGTAAGCTGTAACCATAAATCGGGAGCACTAAATTAAAATCACCGAAATAAACCATTGCCTATTAGATACCTACTTAAGTAGACTTCCCATCATGGATCAGCTGTAGCCAACTTTTTGTTTCAAAAATAACGTAGTTATGTGAGCCAGTCACAGAGTGCACTAGTGACTAAAAATCAATTTTGAATCAATCAAGTTGAAGGGTCATAACAGTTGCTAGGTCACAATAAGTCATTCCTAGTTTGAATTGGTAAAAAATATTGTTTATTCAACAGAAATCAGTAATTTAGATCAGCACAATCTGTCGGTGGCTTACATCAACTATGACGATTTTGGAAAAAAATGGTTTCAAATTTAGTTAAAACCAACCTCCAGTTCACCACCGTAGTACATATGTTCAGCGTTCTGTATGACATGTTGATTGGTCAGGTGTTTGAATGGCTTCTCTTGGGCGTAGCTGAGGATCTCCCATAGCGTGACTGCGAAAGACCAGACTGTACTCGAACACGTGTATCGATCCTGCAATCAAGGTTGTGTCAGGTGTCAGTGAAATGCAATGGTAATTATGTTATTCCAGGAAATCTGACCAGCCTCTCATTGTATATCATACGGACCTAATGGACCATTATAAATGTGGTGAATAAATTATGATTGTGAAAGTACGTATTTTCAAAGAAAGAATTCACCTCAAAACATTCCATTCATAACAATCCTTAGTCTAATGTAACGACTTTGTACACCAATAAAAGAAAAGGTATGATACATTCACTAATCTCGCCTGCACTAAGTCAATAGAGTGGCAATCATTAGTGAGAAAAGAGAATCTAAGTGGCAGGATAAAATGGTTCAAGCAATTAAAACTAATAACCAACGACTAAATCAAATTGCAATGCTTCTTTCGTTTGATCTAACAAGTTCTCTTCAACATAGTGAATATAACTATTGCCGTTGACTATAGATCTAGTACGGGAAGTAGTAATTGAATTTTCATTGCATTGGTGGTTTGAGTTGACTGGGGAAAGGAGATGGACGGACATTGAAGGTGTTATGGTGGAGGTGGAGGTGGAGATAGCATCAGGTGTGTCTTGCACACAATGTGGTTTGTTGATAATCGTATGATGTTTTACCATTACATGACATGATATGCACATAGCAACTAACGACAAAACTGATACTATTGATATTCGTAATTTGCAGTAATGACAGAACTGATGCTAAGGATTTTATTAGATTGCAAACAATTGACAAGAACCTCTTGGCTAAAGATGAAAAATCACATACTATTGACATGTAAACCCACCTTGAACGAGTTAGGCGCAACAAAAATTCTTCGGTTTCTGCATATCGCTAAGAAACCTCCAGTCATTATTTCCTAGTTATAAGTACTTTGTAAATGTTGAATTTCTTTGCCCATACCATAAGTATGCTCTCCCATGGAAGCCAGCGGACTGGAGCAAGAGGTCTTCCACCAATCTCACTATAGTCTTCCTTGTACTCCGGGTTACACATGGCCACGTCTGCTACCTTTACGATGTATCCTCTTCCCACTAGACAGTTCCTGTAAGTAATATAGAAATTAAACATAAAATAGTTACTTAAACAACATAAGAGATAATAGTTTAGCAATAAGATCGTAAACGTTTCAATATCCAATTGCATTCGATACGAAATTTATTGGAATTTTAACTTTGGGTAAAACATGTGTCAAGAAAGTCCATTTAGCGATACATGTTATTAGGTACAACCTATGTAACAGGATATCTTTCGTGAAACTGCTAAACACTGAAAAATATCTCTAAATACGTTTCAGATTAACTAACATTTATTCTTTTCCATTAAATAATTATTTTAATTCTTATCCTCAGAGGCTGGTGCTATTGGTAAATAAGACTTATATCAATGTAATTGTATTTTAAGTTTCCCATTTTATCACTCTATTACAATTATCAACGTAAATAATTAAACTTACCTCGCCCCTAAATCCTTATGAACAACGTTTTTAGACTCCAAATACTTCATTCCTGACGCCACTTGTGTGGCGATGAACATAAGGCACTCATACCTGTCAAATAAAAACCTATTTTAATTTATGATTATTGTTGAGAGGTTATGCAAATGGTAATAATATATTTAGCCTCTACCCATAACTGTAAATAGTTTGCTGTCAAATAAAATACCTTCCGTACTGTATTTGTGATTATGTATATTAAATATGTGCAATCCATTTAATTGTTTACAATCTTATAAGAAACACCACGTTTTTATTTTATATAGATAAGAAATTGTATACATTTATTAAATTGTCTGTTTAGAAAATTAGGGTTTTCTTGTCTTTTGTATAAGGAAATATTCTAAGAAATAAATGAATACAGTATAATTGTAAATAACCATAAACATTTTCCATTATGTTACTTAAATTACGTTATGATGCTTCTTACGATGTTGCCAATTAGTCTGTTGGAATAAATAGGAAATGTAATAATTATTAGCCAAACATTTACTAATTATTGTTTTATATATCCTAACAATACATATAAATGCCCACTTTAGGGTAATTTTAAGTTCAACCATTGGTAAAAAACAGTTCATGTTTTTTTTATATATATGTTTTTACTTACTTGAGACTCGTGTTGTTTCTGAGGACCCGCACCAGATCGCCCAGGTCACCCGTGTACTCTGTGATAACCCATGGAGGGTTCTCCGATGTACATACTCCAATGGTACGCACAACATTTGTGTCCGAAAGACTAGAGAGGAAGCGCAACTCTCGTAGACAATCACCCTTCAAAGTCCGCACGGCTACTCGCTCCTGGAATACACAAGCCTTACTATGATACAGACTCCAAGTTATCCTATCAAAGTTGAAATACATAATCGCTAGAATCAGAGAATGGCTATTGACTTGGTATAGATAGGGTCATTTCTCTGTCAAACTTAAAATATTTGATTTATTCACATGGTTTGCATTAAATTAAACAATTATTATAAATGAGTTGATAAGGCTGATAAGGTTGAAACCATGTAAATAACAATTTTACTTTAAGGTCCATATATATTCTTTTAATAACTAACTCTATCCTCATAAGGATGTTCAGATACTCCCTAAATACCTATTAAACATTTGAACGTGGGAGATGTTTACATTTATCACAGTAACCACTAGGTTACACCATAGACTAACCAACACAAGTAGACTTCTGATCCCATTGTAATTTTGAAGCATGTTTATCGTGTCTAGTTCATGTACTTTGACACTGAGCGCTAGTGTCAACGAATTTTTATTTTTTTATTTTAAAATTTAATTTCTAGATTTTTTTTATTTATAGTTTGGTTATATAACTAGGGGATGAGTCATTGTTTATGATTAGATCGTATTATTTGACTAAACAAGGTTTTACTCGTAAATTACTGAAATAACAAGAAACAAATTGTAAACAAACCACGACCTCTTCAGAACACCGTACGGAACTAACAATAAAATCGTCCTCAGCTGTTCCACAAGGATGAGGAATCTACTAAGGGAGATGCTTTATCCATGGTTGCACTTAAGGTGGTTGAATTTTTAGATTTACTATGGAGATCGATAGAGGTTACACGATGATCAATAGATCTCCAGGTTTCGATTTCCAGAACTTAAAAATCATGGTATGGATGTATATTATTAATTTAATTATGTAGATTCGTTAATGATAAGTTTTACAACGGATTGCTTACCTTCCGATCCTCTAACTGACAGACATGAAACTCCCCTAGATGGCAGGACCCCACGGTGTGCAGGACCTGCAGGCAGTACCGTGGAATCGGTATCAGGTCGGTTTCCCTGCATTTGTACGGAGCACCCATGCTAGGGGCGATGTTCCACGTCACCACTGGGGGTGCTTGCTGCAAACAAATAATATGTATAATTAATTTAAGCTAATATCATGAATTACAACACTAGCCATGATTGTTATAAATAATATTCCGTATTATATATTCATTCAGTATAGAGTTAATTAGTTATTCGTTAGATCCGGTTTAGTATTATGAAAGATCAATTACCATGATTGTAAGCTATGTTTCGCTACAATTTGACGTTGAATTGATACATTGTAACTAAGCACGAACAAATTAAACTTTATCTTCCATAAATGAGCTTAAATGTTTTCTCTCACCCTATGCTTGTCCCTGGGCGCTGTATGGTATCGTTTCCTGCTAGGAGAGTCTGGGCCAGGGAAGGAGCCGCCACTGAGTGATAACGTGTTCATCCTAGAGGCACTAGTCAGCTGTACCGGTGTGGAAGGATTCTGTAGCTGCAGCGACATGACACTCTTGGTGGGACTTCCCGTTGCAGTACTCGGTCTTACAGAGCCCTCTTCGTCTTCACTCATTGGCTGAACTCTTTCTCTCTCCCTCTCTTTTTCACGCTCTCTATCCAAGTCCCAGTCTCTTTCCCTCTCCATTTCAGTCGGTAGTAGCTTATGCTGTATCTCAGGGTCTATGGATGGAGCTGGTAACAAATAACTTAGTATTTTATTCATCCCAATAGCACTCGTATATTTTATTATATCGATCACCCATACACGGTTAGTAAAACGTCTGGAGACCCCCTGTTAATTTTTTACGGCCCATAGTAGAAAATCCAAACTCGGCACACCTTTATGGCATGTTAAGAATAACTTTTTGGGCATAACCAACACTTAGTATACATCCCGGTATTTCGGGGAGAACTCAAAATGTTCAAAAGGCAAGACCCATCGAGTGACCCCTCATTTTGAAGGTCCTGGTAAAAAAAAACCAACAACGCAAATTAGAGGTATCCATCTCAATCCAGTAAGGAATGGCAGATAATTGAAATTCTCAGAAGTTAAATTTAACTTACAGCTTTCCAAGTCTGAAGACCCCTTGTAAATTTTGTAATGGCTTACTCTAGGAAAACTAAACTCTACACACCTTTATGGCATGTTATGAAGTACTTTTTGAGCCTAATTGCTACTTGGTGTGTGTTTTACTGCTCAGAATTAGACCAACTGGGACTAAAGTGTTATTTTAAATTTAATATAAGATTGTACAATCTTAAGTTAACGTACCTTTAGCGGCTTGATGACATGGCAGTGTGGCGTAGTTGTTTTCAGACGTGTATGACGACACAAGCGGATGTTGTTGTTCCATACACAGAGAAAGAGAGTCCGTGACCGCATCTGGAGTCACAGGAGTTGGCAAGTTGCTTCGGAGATTCTGGTTGTTGTTGAGAGGCGACAAATTCATTAGCAGATCCTGCAGTGAAATTCGTGGTGCAATCAGTATCAGTATGATGAAAACACAAAATATTTAACGAAAATGTTTCACAGATAAGTAAGTGTGTCCAAAGCATTACGTAACACAGCTAATGGTAGTAAAATAATTTAAGCAAAAGTTACAAGCATCATTTAGAATCAATACATGAATTGGAAATTTTGATTCGACCGCAATGGCATTTCTGTAAGTATATGACTTTTTAAAATGTTGTAGCAAATATCTGCTAAAATGGTGTTGCCGTATCAGCAGTAGTTGTTCATTTTCTATTTGATGAATGATCCTACGGAACAAGCTGATCTTATTCAGTACTAAAGATGCAATTTTATTTGTTCAATTAAATTTTACTTGAAATTTACCACTTGGTGTGTTATCGTTGTACAAAATGAAATAAACAAATTAATAGACATGTTTTTAGCTATATTTATAACACAGGGTCTTGACCTTTGTTTACTCATGTTATTCTTAGGTTGTCGGTTACTCATCACTAAAATAAATTAATCACAATTTACTAAAAAATGTCGAGGTATATTTCAAGTTTACATCAAAACTCATCTTCAGCCTCTAGTAACAACATATCAAGTAAATAAACTATGATTTATAATGTTTGTATATAAATTAATTAACATATGTTTGAATTATTTTAAAATTAAGTTAGTAGGAAAAATTGTTATATGTATATATTATGTACATGTCACAGTTAATTTATTATTGTTTTTCCAATTTTAATTTTGTTTTCAACCTCTTCTCTAATTAAAGGTATAAACATAGGGCTGATTGTAGCACTAGGTTGGGATATGCTTCTTTTATCAACCGCCATGCAAGCAGCTTCTTTGAGATTTCTTAATTTCCAGTCTGCTTCCTGGGGCCCATTTCATAATAAAGTACAAACTAATATTATTAGTAAATCAGCTGATCGGCCAATGCAAATCTAATGGAAATTACAAGCTACAAGTTGTAACTTGTAACTTGTAGTTTATTATGAAATGGGCCCCTTGTAGATCATAGTTGATTCAGACCAATGTATTCTATGTTCTTCAGAGAAAACATGTTCACTTAGTTTGGAATAACTCTCCAAATGATTACTAATGCTCTTCTGGTGTTCTTTTAGTCTCTTCTCCATAGGTCGTGATGTTTGCCCGTAATAACTTCTTCCACATTAACAGGGTATTTTATAAACTATATTTTTTGTGTCTTGATCTTTGTTCTTGGGCTTCACTCTGGTCAGAAAACTTCTCAATGTAGGTCCAGAAGAGAATACTGTTCTTAAATTAAACTTTTTGTTCAATCTTCTTATTTTTTCAGACTTACCCTTGACATACGGTATAGATATGGTACAATTAGGTCTTTCTTCTATTCTACTTAATAAGAACAGTACTTAATTTTAATATAACAACAGTATTCTCTTCTGGACCTACATTGAGAAGTTTTCTGACCAGAGTGAAGCCCAAGAACAAAGATCAAGACACAAAAAATATAGTTTATAAAATACCGTGTGGATGTGGAAGAAGTTATTACGGGCAAACATCACGACCTATGGAGAAGAGACTAAAAGAACACCAGAAGAGCATTAGTAATCATTTGGAGAGTTATTCCAAACTAAGTGAACATGTTTTCTCTGAAGAACATAGAATACATTGGTCTGAATCAACTATGATCTACCAGGAAGCAGACTGGAAATTAAGAAATCTCAAAGAAGCTGCTTGCATGGCGGTTGATAAAAGAAGCATATCCCAACCTAGTGCTACAATCAGCCCTATGTTTATACCTTTAATTAGAGAAGAGGTTAAAAACAAAATTAAAATTGGAAAAACAATAATAAATTAACTGTGACATGTACATAATATATACATATACAAATTTTTCCTACTAACTTAATTTTAAAATAATTCAAACATATGTTAATTAATTTATATACAAACATTATAAATCATAGTTTATTTACTTGATATGTTGTTACTAGAGGCTGAAGATGAGTTTTGATGTAAACTTGAAATATACCTCGACATTTTTTAGTAAATTGTGATTAATTTATTTTAGTGATGAGTAACCGACAACCTAAGAATAACATGAATAATGCCATCACGAAGGAAAAAACATACCGGAATGAATTTGTTTACTCAGTTATCTGTTACCGTAAATACACTATCAAAAACATATTGCAATAGCAAAGCCGTTGCATACCTTCATGTTGACTCTGACACTAAAGGGGTTTCTGAGTATTGTGGTGGGAGATCCTTGCAGCTTTTGTCGTCTGCTGAGGAACAGGATTATGACGAACACTCCGAGCAGCAGCAGCATCACTGCTGTCTGAACTCCTATCAGCACCTCTGCATAGTCCTCTTGTTTACCGTCCTTCTCCGCAGTAACTATGGGGGAAATTCATGTAAGTTCTTATAAAAGTAATCAATTATTTAAATCTTTCCTAAATTTTACCTCAAAATGAGACGAATTATATGATTGGTAAAACAATTAACTTAAATTTGTCTTTTATTTATTCAATATTACGAAATGTTTTGAATATTAATTTATTAAATATTTTTAGTAATTTAATCAGTGAAACTTAAACCTTAGGATTTTAAATTTAAAGATAAATTGCATCATTAAACTAATGTAGGCCTATCAGTCTAGAAATGAGTGTATAATTGAAATTTACACAACACGAACCATTTAAATACTATTTTTATTGTAATATTTTGGAGTAATCGAAAAGACTATTAACAAGGGCAACTTTAATACGCGTCTAGAAAAATTTTTTATGAAACTTCCAGTTTTATTTTTTACAAAAGTCGCAACCACATCGTTTGACCGTTTATATTTACCAACGAACAAACAATATCTCTGAATCTTTTGCTATCTATTTCCATTCTGATACGTGTCACATACATCATCTAGTCACATAAACGTTTTGCGAGATAGAAGGGATTGATTTAAGCGGCGTCAAGAGAAAACATAAAGGTGAAAAGATATCCAGAGATAGGATGGAACGTACTAGTCTCGAAGGGCTCCCAGGGGAGGTCTTGAGCTCCTCGGGCGTAGATCACTGTTTCCTCGGCTCCCCCCAGGGTGGTCCAGTCGGAGGTGAGGTTCCCGTCAACTGGAGCTGAGGCAAAATATTTTGGTAATCTTTCTACGACGTAAAAGTGTTATATTTCGATGTTAGGTGTAGTATCTATCTCCTTAAAGGGATTAGGTTAGCGTAGTAAAAGTTATGCAGTAGTATCTACAAACTATAAAGTGAATTATTTTTTCAGAATAATATATGCACATTATTCTCTCGTATGTTATTTAAAATTAATTTATGATTTGTTGTAATAATGGCAATTTTAGCATTTTAGAAGCCCTTCTGGATTTGCATATATGTTACGATTGTATTAAATGATATATTTAGTCTTATTGGATATTGTGTTTTTAAAAGTTGATTAGTTTTTTTTTATTTTATAGAAATTATCTACTAGTTTCTTATTACTTGGAAATAGGTCGTTTTAGCACCCTCCCCTGTTAGAACTTAATTTTTGATTTTTCATTTCATCATATTTACGTTACATGGAGACACTACGTAAGTGGCACGGTAATCCTAAGCCGGGAACCAAAATAACTTTTCATTATGATGTCCCCAGAAGTCAAAAACACTTTAAAAATATGTTCATATATGTATATATTCACTGGAAAACGCCTTTTCCTACCCTGCAGCATAGAACCTCTGTAATCGTTAACTGCTATTTAAATGGGGAATTATTCTGAAATGTTTTTTTTTTTTATATTTTAGTATAGATCTAATCAGACAAATGGTCCAATAAATACAATTATCTTAGTCTCCTGGTTTGCTGGGGGCGGGTATATTATTCAATGGAACATATTTCATAAAAGTAAAATCAAAAAGCTACTTAAACATTGATTCCTTGCCGATTAAGTTGTTTTGTACTCACTGGAATCAAAAGTGACTTCGCTGATGATGATGAAGTTGTCAGCAAAGTAGAGCTGCATCTTGACAAACCTCGCTACTCTGTTATGCAGGTTGATGGACACATTTCTGGCGTTCTCTAAAACAATGTCTGGCATATAGTTGTATGTGACAGATCTTCCCCCATACGTCTGTCCGTCCAGGCTGAATTGTACTCTCGCTTTGCTAAAAACCTGTAACAGTAACATGTTGTTAATCCAATCTAATTTGTGGCACCACAAATGTTATGATTTATTTCCTTTTAATAATTAAATAACTGAGGATTGAGTTATGATTACATCAGTGGCCACGATTACACGTGTTACATTTTACTGGAAAGAGTAGCCCCCTAGATACTCTATTCTTCCTTCCTACTAATAATTCTTAATTGGCGGGTCCAATCGTAATTGGTAACCACGAGTGAACTTATTATGTGTTTACTGTATTGCGTACAATAAGGCTAAGTAAATTCTTCTAGTATTTCTACACCAATTCTCAACAACATGTATCAATTTCTGAAGAAAAAAGTCATACAATAAATGTTAATCCCTCATCAAAAAGAAACATTTAATAGCCTTCTTTGGGATCACTGTATCATGTTTGAAGGTTAACCACTTGTTTTATGATGATGGCAATATTCGTATAATCAAAGTCACAAACCACACAGCTTCCTACCAAGTCAGTTATCCGCAGATAGTATAAGTTATACTATTCCAAGTTGCCAAACAATCTAGAATGTTCGGAAGCACCCAACCGCTGTCTGTAACTTACCTGTACGCCCTTGCTGAAGAAGTTGTTTGTGTAAATATGCACGGCAGTGAGGTTTCTCAAGTTGTCGAACTCAAACACAAGTTCCACGTGGTTGTGGGGGAAAGACTCCCTTCTCCATCCGACCCAGCCGTTACCTGCGCAAATATTTGACGTATTTAAGCAAATATGAGGCATGAAGGACACAAAGGGGAAATAGGCATGCCTAAAATTATATCAGATTTTTATCGGATTATAGGGCCTACAACAGTTTTTGAAAGAATAAAAAGTCAGTAATGTCTTATGATGTTTAGAAAGTAACGTGTGGGAACTATGCTATCTCTAGCAATTAAGTATTTATTTATTTTTTTTTACTTTATATTACATTGTAAAAATTGAAATTCCCATGATACTTCATGGGTAATATGATGGGCATTTTCAACTACATTTAAACTACTATAATGGGAATTTTTAACCATGATAAATGCTACTACATTTATTATGGTTAATTTTTTATGATATCATCACACTATCGGACTCCTCTTTACAAAAACCAATTTAATTTAAACAATACTTTAAACAAATTCTAACAATCAAACCATTTTGAATGTTAGAGTTACTCAAGTAAAATATTCTACTTAATATTTAAACCGCACGGATGGTTTTAGTTTTGCAAGAGACGTCTCAAATGTATTATCGTTTCAGGCTGGCTGCGTGGGGATAGAAAGAGCACGTGACGAAATTTAAGATGAAGTCGAAAGACGGAACGCCAACTTCAGTGACGTCAAGGCTCGACTTGTTCGTGCGAGTGTCTTGTTCCGGATTGTTCCTTCCGAAAAATAATGAAAAAAACTGTATCTTTATTGATATAAAATGTATAATGTTGAAAAGAACTATGAAGGTAGACAAAACTTTTCTGACGGTGGTTGGCATTTTGTGATTTCACTTATTCTCTACAGACCTCTAGAAAGGACAACATTTGATTTACCATCGCACGAATATAATATTATTGGTGTATGTAAACATAACACATTGTTCTCTCAATGAATCCCTTAGGGGTTTTATTATCCTTTACAAATCCTTTTTACTACCTCTGGGTTTTCAGACTAAGCTAAGGGAGCCCATTTTGTCCTGTTGTTACGTAATACCGTTGACCTAGATACTTCAGAAGATATCTCAGGCACAAGGACCAGCTTGGATTAGTATCTTTTCAAGTTACTATTAATATAATTGAATGTATTTTTTTAATATAAGTTCTTCATCTTTATTGATAATCTAAAATGTATTGATAAATTAAAAGCATTTAGCAAACAGGAATATGTCCTTTCAGTTTAGCATAATTAGAGATGTACTTAAAAGTAGAGTAAAACTAAATAAATTTAACAAAACCAAGCTATGTTGGTAGGTCAGTAAGTTGGGTATTTAGGTTATTTTCTTTGTTCTAAAACTAACACAAAGGCGTTTTATCTGCTAGTGGAATTATCTTTCCGATATATTACTTAAACACTATGTGATAAGTTATCTTAATTTTGATGTTTACATTATTGTTTATTTACTGCATGTTTTAGTTTTCCCTAGGACTTAAGTAGTTTTTACGCTAAAGTAAAAATTTAATTTTATGAAATGTAATTCTATCTAATTAATTGGTGACATATTTTTATAAACGTGCAGATCTTAGACAGATTATACTTTAAGGTTGATAAGTAGGAGCTTGAATAGTCCCAGTTGTCAGAGAAAGATATTATATTAAAATCCAGGTGTATGAGTTATAAAACTTTGTCTTCTTACCTTTTCCATAGCCAATGTCAAGTTTAAAGTTGTCACCACCGTACGTCCCGTCCACCAGTCTGCCCAAGCCTCCAAGCAGCATGCCGCCGGTTCGTTCCCCGTCGTAGCTGACATCACTTAGATCTTGACCAGGCTCCCAGCTAGGCTCCTCAGGCATGCTGTAGTTCATCACACCCCCTGGAACATTTAGAATAAACTCAGTTCATTTATCTTGTTTTGTTTGGAAGATGTTCCGATTACTTTTAAGTTGATTATTTCTTCATAAATATACATGTTTTGCATCTTAACCAAGATTATTTTTCATAAATATACATGTTTTGCATCTTAACCTACAAAGGTATTTAGCTTCTACGAGACGCGATGCCAAATGATGGCCTGAGTGTTTAATAACTTAAGTGATCTCCTAAAAAAGCTAGCATTACAAACTAAAAGTCCAATTAACTACAAATTAACACCTTTATACTATTTTTTTAATTTAAGTAAAAGATAAGTACAAGTTTTCATTGACTCGTTTAGGTTATTTTTTTCATGTGATTCGACAAAAAAACTCCAAGTGAATCATATTTTCTGCTTTAGACTAATTTCCCCTGAAACAAGTATTCCCTTGTGTATTTCTGTTTAACCATAGCATAAAAGAAGTGCAAGAAGGATGAAATGTATCTGACCTAGTTGTATTCCTTATCTCAAATTGGTAAAGCTCTCCAGCACGACACAAATGCAGATCACATAACTCTAAGAAATATAATCAACGGGTTGGATGTCGTAATAGTCTATCCTTTACATCCATTGGTCATACATAAAATAAAATTAGAAAAACGCTTTGATTATCACAAATTGCCAATATAATCAGAATATTGCACCTTTGACTATTGATACAACATACATTTTTTTATTCTAACCTAAGATTTCATTAGTGACAATTTAATAATAAGGTGTCGTAAACGAATATCGATCCTCGTGCCAATGGCAGATGTTCAGATGTTAAGTGGTGTATTGAATATCGGATGCCAGCTTAGAACAATGAATGACATTACTAATCATCTCAAGTGGACAGGCGATGGAATGCATTATTACTTGGTGGTCGGTGATGTTCAATATTCAGAGGTCTCTGACACGCAAATAAGCAGTTATAGGGGAACAGCTGAATATTTACTTTGTGGTTTTGTTGGTTCTCCATTGTAAAATCACTTGGTTTCAGGAATAATTTATTTGAGTATCGTTACTTAGAATTTGTTTTGATAAATTGCACGGTTTATTACAATATCCAATCTCCTGATATCTGTAAAAAATGCCTAGTGGCCCATCATGATTTAAAACGGAATGAATCAAAGAACTATTTTACTGTTAGTTATAATGACAAACCTTAAAACAAGTAAAACTATGAATCTTTGGAACACGATATTTAACACGCTGTCTTTGTACAACTACCCAGTTATCGAACATCGCGTTCGACTATCTAAAACTAAAAATAACTGCATTATTCTTTGTGTTTACAATTCAATAAAATAGAAAATCACGTGTAATGCTCTATAGGAGGTCCTATTCACATGGTAGCTGAGTGGGTATAGATTTTTTTAGATATCAAGAGGCCTTTATCTAGCCAGCAAAAATCAATAGCTTTTTTAATGAACCAAGTTATTCTTGATCCATGAGCTTTTGAAAAATGATCCTGGATAAGGAAAACGTGAACATTAATCACCAAAATAAATTCCATCACATTTATCTAACAATTATTCTTCACCTAAATACGCACTCTGTTTTAATGAAGTAATTCATTTATCTAATCATTGAATAGCTCAACCTATCAATCACAAACAAATAGGTAAGCACGGCCATATACGACTAAGAAGTAATAAATTGTATTAAAGAGAATAAGAGATAAAGGCATGACTTAAAATCAACCGTATTTACAATCCCAGTCGGGCTTAAATTCATGTTTGATCACATAGGACTACTCATGTAATATTTTAAAGATTACTACTTTAGAAAATCTGATGACGCCTTATCTCTAGAGCAGCCTTAGTAAGCTTTTCATCCAATAAGTTTTATAAGATTTTTTCTCGAGTTATCCAGTTTGAAGAGTATGTTCAAAGATAATAATTCATCACAATTTTAAGGGTCACTCAAAAAATAATATTTCTAATTTGGTGCACCAGAAAACGTTCGATCCGATAACATTTTCATTTTGCTGTACTACATCAATGTCAACTACTCTTCAAAGTCTCTCCAGAAATAACATTTCACCGATCTAAATACAGAAACATCGCTGAATAGTGTATGGTCCATGAGGGAGATGGAGAGGTCAGACCGAATGACAGCGACATGCTGTGGAGGACCTCTTTTGATAATTGGGTATTGTTCGTCATCACTTCCACCCTCATCCTCTCCTACAACCCCCTCCCCCTTTACCACCAACCGCTGCTAATATTGAGAGCTACGTTTCTACTAAGACAGCACAGCTGCTTTTTGTCATTGATTGTAATTTTATACCAATGGTTTTATACCAATGGTGTCCCCTAAAATATTCATAAGGTGATGGAGATTGCTAAGTAAAATACGACAAATAATAAATTAAAATATGTGAATAACCTCTGAGGCAGATTATTATTTTTTTTTGTAAAAGAAATTTGTAAAATGTATTTCCACAGTTAACCGTTCAGATTGGGTAGTGCTTTTGAGGATAGCAAAAATACGGATACTATACAATTTCGTATTTCTTATAAAAGACTGCAAATCATACTTATGGCAACCTACGTATGATGTGTGTTAATGTTTTCCAGTGAAACTATAATTTTTTTTCTACAAAAGACTTTTGGAAGTTGTAAGATTAAACTTACAATGCAGTCATGACATAATTTATATAATTATGTATCCTAATTTTTGACATCACTAAGACTGTTCGGAATAAATCCTATGCTTTGTATAGTAAAAGCAACATTAAAAACTAGTCCTAATTAAGCCTATGAAAGAACAATATCATAGTAATCGTTTACTGCATAAAACACGTTATTTGAAACATGTATATTACAATTTTGAGGAACGATAGATAATAAAGTCTACTTTTTTAGCAACTTCAAATCCATAAGTTTAATTTTAACCACATAAATATTACCTTGAGCTCAATAGAAGGGAGATATTTTCCATGGGCTATAGTTTATTTGACATGTCTTGTTAAAGTAACTGTACATTAAGTATTGACTACCAGGCGAGAACAAAGCCTGACAAAACCAATCATCGAAAGTGGTCGTCGGGAATTGGAGAGGTGTTGTCATGATGGTCAGAAGGCGCGTTTTGAATAACTTATACCTACGCAATATGCCGAGTGTAATGGAAAATAATGGCGATAACAATTAAGTTGATTGTTGGTGGGCTGATCAAATGTTTGCGTTGTTACAACATTATTTGTCTGCAAATGGAAAACCAACTATTGATTCTCTGGTGATTAAAAGTGGTTAAACACCACGTATAACGTCGTTGCCGAAATTATCTACTTTATAAATTAAACTATTTAGCTTATATAGTTTATAATTTCATGATTTATTGGTTTTTGTATTTCACTATATTTATATACTACTATTAATTCGGTAGTTTTAGTACATGTATTTCAATAAAATGACAGCGTATTTAAAATAAAACGTTGATCCCCAATATAATTTTTTTTAATCCTTTAAAATATTTGTAAAAGTTTGCAATGAAGCAGCCAATAGCCATAATACTAAATGAAAAAAATAATAAAGATAGCTTGTGGATGGATGAATCAGAAACTGTATGATGTATCCTTTGCAGTCCAAAGGAAGAATTCGTAATAGGCCTAATTATTTTTTCCAAGATTGTATAAAGAAATATACTGGTAATGTTATAACAATGGCTTAATAGTTGTATCAGTAATCGAGATGTTATAAATTGCATCACAAATATTGGATTCACCAATCAGTTTTAGGATATTGTTTCGACCCCTATGGAGTTGATTCTGACCCTAAAATTTATATACATTAGTTTATTTATTTATTTATTTTATTTATTTTATTTTCCCAACGGCATAGCCACTTTACAATGAAAAACATTCACAACATAACAACTCACAACAAAATAGTGAACAAATAGTGAACAATAACAATAGTGGTAACAATATCAATATTAACAAAAATATTAACAATACAAATATTTACAATTTTTAAATAGAAAGTTGGATGAAGTTGGTTGGAGTTTACCAATGAGTGATACAACTTAAAAAGTGATCTTAATACATTAGAAAAAACTGTTAGAACCGTCGAAAATGAAAAAAAAAAAACACAAATATAAAAAGAATGCTCATGTGAAATCACAGAGGTTATCCATTGCACACAAAAGTTATTAATAAAACCATTAGGCCTAGTTGTCTATTTATTCTGGTATAAATAATTAAGTTAATAAACGTAAGAAACACTACATGATCGCTTCAAGTGTACTACAAAGAGTTTGTTTTGATCATATTGATTCAATTAAAAATATTGATGAAACTACAAAAACTCGAATTGAATGTGTAATTTGAATTGTAGAGTGGTCGCCTCATGTACCGTATGATGAAGAGGACGGTTTAAATGACAGCGACATGCAGTGAAGGACCTCTTGTGATAATAATTGGGTATTGTTCACCATCACTTCTGCCCTTCTCACCTTTACAGACTTTAATTAAGACCCGTTAGAGTTTTCCCTCTTATTCCGTGCTTGGACAAGGAATATTAAGGAATATTAATTGAATATTATAAATTCAGTAAAAGAGTTACAATTAATAGTAGGTATTTTATTTTTATTTTTGGTAAATAAGTACCATAACATATTTAAACCGTAAAGTGAACCATCAAAATGAAACCATCCTTCCTCACTAGTTGTATGGATCATCGTTAAAAGTTAGGTATTAACTTTTGAAAATTAAAGAACAACATGTCCAAAAATAAGAAAAATAAGTAAGAGTACTAATGCTGTCAATTAAGGTTGTCATCTAAACTTAAAGGCATCCTTTAAGAAATTTATGTCAAACACCGTTTATACTTCATCAACTCAATTTTATCCGTTTACTCACCACCTAATCGTCATATAATAGTTAACCGAAAAGTATTTGAGGGTAAGTTGACGATCCTTCAGATTATGAATCGCTCTCTTTCATCAGATTCGTGTGAGCTAACCATAAAATGTAGTTAAGGGGATCAACATTAAGAGCTTAAAGTGTAGAGTTTTCAAATCAAGTAGAAAATTTATCAAAAGTTAATGGGATATTTTAGTGCTAAATGTCAACATGGAGAGCAGCTTTTCAAAGTTATGTTCAAAGTAATACTCATCTGTTACACTAAACAAGCTACTTACTTTTTGAGATAAATAAAAAATGGTATAAATCTAAACAACTTCAATTAGAGCCAGTAGTACCAGAACCACATAATACCAATACACTAAAATGTTTTGCATAACACAGTATATAACATATCTCTGATCTAGGGTGAGTGTGCTGCTGAAAGAAGTGTTTTGTGGTCCTGTAGTAACTTACCATGGTGAGGGCATCCCCGGAGTTCCAGCCTAAGACATACTGTGCGGCGGTGGATGCTGTAGGGGAGGATGCGTACCTTGGAGGCGAACATTGGCGGCGTCAAACGATGCGTTACCACGGAGCTGGTGTCACTGTTACCGGTCAGGATCTGACAAAGGAGAGAAGTTTGAATCTAGGGAGGTTTAATTGTAATGCATCTCATAATCGACACATTTTTTCTATTGAAGTAGACGTCCCTAACACATATATGATTCGAACATCGATTTATTTTTAAACAACCATCCAAAAATAAGCAAAAGTATACACGATAAAGCGTACTACGTTTTTATTTAATTAACTATTTGTTTAGCTGACTTTTGAAACTTAACAGTTGTTTATTCAAACCATTTAGATTTTAAAGTGTTTCAAGTATATGAGCGACCAATTCTTTAAGGCAAGTTGGGAATACATTTCACAATTATCAAAGAAATATTTCATTAAGTGACTGTAAATTTGTTTTAAGTTACGACAGTAACATATTGTCTCAGTCAAACATAATTAATTCTTCATTCAATCTATTCAATTTTAATCAACTCCCACTAGATTAGCAGCCCTATTTTCAATTTAGTTTACTTTAACATGAATAGATAAAGATTAAAGTAGCATTTAAATATCATTTATTGAAAGTAAATCGTCTCAAATATGTATTTACAAACACCATAGCAGTCAGTTATAGCTTAGATGGTCATTATTTTATGGCATATGAGATTGGTATTTACTTAAGTTTAGATAATTCCAAGCCTCGAACAATTCAAAGAAAGAAATCCCACCTTTTTCCCATCCCAGCGATGGTACTCCCTCCATTCCGCCAGTCCCGGTCTCCAGTACTCCAGGCTGTACTCTTCAGCGTACTCTTGTCCTCTACCATGATCGAACCTCCCCTGAGTCTGGACACCGGTGACCACGTACACCTCGTCCAGGTCTACCTGTAGGAACTCTCGGACACCACGTTCTATCTGTTGCTTGGGACACCATCCACCTCCTGCCCTCTCCACCTTCAACCTAACGTTCACAAAAGAAAACAAATTAAGATGTAGTACGTAGCTTAAAATACAGCTGTTTTCTTTTTTTAGAAATACGGGAACTTTTGGACTCATTGCTTTATCTATTGATTGGAACACCAAAAAGGAACTACCTGCCCTCATCGCTTAGTCTACAGTAAACAAGAGTAAACAAATTAGAGCAGCGGAGCCTTCCTTAGAAAAGCATTTCTGTTTTGTTTGGAAACGCTTGAGCGAAATTGACTCTTTAGGAACTTAATGCTGTTAATGGACTATACAGAGTCAAGTAAGCCCCAACTGTGTTCTCTTTGATATTTATTAATGTTGAATCAGTTTAGTCATTTTTTTATTTTGATCTTGACGTGAATTAATCATTTATATTAGTATATCGTTGAAATAACACGATGCTTGCAGGCCGTAATTTCAATTTAACTACCAAACATTATCAGATTAAATTATTGTAGGTAACTTTGATAAGGAGTAGGATGTTTAGCTGCCATTTTAACAAATTTATAATCCTCATGTTTCTTCAAAACCTTTTTTATCAGCTCATGTGCATAGCAGGGAAAATCTACGCATACCGTAAGACAGATATTTGCATGTATATGTGCAGAATACCTTTATAAATTAAAATATACTAAAAAAAGGTTTTTTAATTTTTTTAAAATAACATGGGCCTTATAGGTTGCCATTCCGGTGACGAAATAACAACGAAATATATTTGATTATTGAACGTTTGTTACCTTATAGCCTTTGTTCTTGTAGAAAGATGTTAAAATCCTCCATCTTTCTACAAAAACAAACAACAACATCATCAATTAAGCGGGGGGCCATATAACACTAGTTTTATGGCTATAAGGTAACAAACGTTCAATAATCAAATATTCTAGTTCTTGTCACTGGGAAATACATCAAATAAACGAAATATAAACAGAAAAAAAATTTAAGAAATTCCAATCAATTGTTTTATTTGCAGTGTTATGAGAAAATAGAGAAGTCTGTAAATTAAATATTTTTGGTAGAGTTTTCGACCACTAGACGACCAACTCACCGGCCAAACTGTGGTCCTACATTGGGCACGTAGGATGAACTGGCTGTCACTGCCGAGTCTGGGACTACTCCTGACTCCAGTCCTAGGGAGCTGTCACATGATCCTGTTCAAACAAAAATATACAATGCTAAAAAAGGAGATTAGTGTGAAAAACTCAGTGTAAATAATAAAAAAAAAATATTTTGGTGGATGATTCGAAAAGATACCCTAAACTATTTATTTTTCAGCTTACAATAACAATGTCAGTGATGCTTCAATGTGTATGGATTTTTTTTGTGACATCAAAGCGCATAATTACTCTGGGGTTTAAAAAAATTTCCCCAATATTATTTGTTTTTTTACGTATATTGTTGTATTGATATTTTGACATGAAAGGGAATGACCGTAATTTTACCCAAATATGAATTTAGAATTAGGTAAGAAAGGGATGTATTAGTTAGATTTGTAAATTATATTAGACATTCTTTTATATTATAAAAAATGAAATTTACAAATCAACAATAACGCTATTAATTATCATTATGAGATTCCAAAAAAAAAAACCGACCATTAGGCCTATAAATTCACAGATAACAATTGTAACAAAATGATAACGAAATATCCAAACAAAGCTAAGGAGCTTAATACAAATCACAAGTAAGCTCAAATATATACGTCAAAACACAACTCTAAAAATGTTATTTTATACATTTAATGCAAGTGAAAACAAAAAATAATGCCAGGTATAAAAAAATGATCCTTCATGTTTAAAAAAATACTTGATTTAAGATATTCTATTGATAGACAATGTAAATAGATTCTAAATGAATATCAGCTTCTATTGGTACTCACGTATATCGAATCCTCCAGCTGAGCGTAGCAAGGTTACTAGAGTCGCAGCTAGAGTACAGCACTGGCCTAGACTCCACATACTTCAGCCACCACCACTGTAACAAACAACATGCTCAATAAAAATATTGGAAATGCACCTAAACTATTGCAATAATAAACCTTGCAAAAAGCACCAAACAAACCTAGTATTTCAAGTCTTCGTAACTAACTGTCTGTTTGTCTTGCATGGCATGTATTACTATAGAATAATACTGTTGTTTTATTTTTTTGTATATATTTTGGAATTTTTGTATATGGTGTCACTTGTAGAGTTTATCAAATTTATTTATTTCTTACTCTTAAAGTTTAATTATTTTAGCCAATCTGGTTTGGGAGTTATTTGTCAAGGCCTAGAGAACACTATATTATATTCATTATCCAAATTATTAAATGGGTTGTGCGTCAATTTAACCTACTGACAACCTAAAGAACTGGTTATGGTTTTTGTAATTTTAATCTAAATGTGGACAAAATTCTGAATATTTAAAACGTTGCAAATGGTTTTTATATTGTTGAAACTACTTATTCTTCAACACTGATATAAGGTATACAGTTGATAAGGTATCTAATTAATTTCCTTAGTTTATTATTATTACAATTTGAGTTGGGAACGCAGCCTATGTACGAATTTTAACCCAAATATGAATGAAGGATAAGTGTAGAATGGAGTGTGATGCCATTTGTAGCTTTGTTACTTACTGACTAAGCACAGAAGTCAGGGCTAATTATAGAAATCCCAATAATCAGGGACAGCTGGGTCCAGTTTCGAACCATCAAAATGCTACAAACTTTTCTCAGGATCGAACCGGTGACCTTTTTGATTACCAAGCGAGCACTTTAACCACTAAGCTATATAACTTTAAGTCTAGTCCGGGTAGTCGATCACGATTGATGTTTGAGAAATTAATCAACCAAATGCTGGAGAGCAAGTGAATTTACCCCACTAAGTTTTAGTAATCGTATCAACAAAAACCCCCAATCAACAATGTAAATAAGAATATATTTCTTTCTTTCTTCTTTGCTTGTTTATACAGTTGCCAATTCTGTTTATTATAAATCAGCGGTTTGCTCCAAGTATTTACACGTATAATATTTGCATTGTATATTTCAATAAGATCTTTTATTATTCTAAGTACGGAGTCTTATCTTAACCTGTTTTTGTGCCAAAAAGCAAGAGTAGTATAAATAAAACTGGGTTTGTAAAGCCAGGCTGTCGTCAATCCTGGGGTTGGTTGGATTACTGTTGGCAGTTTTCCAAAATGGCCGCCACACTGACCACAGCTTTCCTGAGATACAATCATTGGCCGGCATTTGTTATTGTTCATGCAGCCTAACTCACACGGCATTGTTAAAAGTTACTTTCACCAACAAACGTTTTAGATAACCACAATTTACGAGCCTTTATTATCATTTCCCTCAAAAATATGTATTTGACCTTTAAAGTTAATTAAAAAGAATATATACTATAAAATGTGTTATATTGATAAGGTATAGTATCTTCTTAAGAAGATATGACCATAGTCCTGCAGTATTTTCAATTTAAGTACAAACTATAAAACATTTTGCACAAATATTGAGTGCTTTAAAATCTCTTAAAGGGTATCTTATATTAAACCTTTAATACCATTGATTTTTTAAAGTCTCAAATACATGTTTATACAAACTTTTTAAGTAAATAAATAAGAAATTACAGGTAGTCAAAAATACACTACGAAAACAAAATTGTATTAAAAATTTACCTAGAAAGATTTACCACTTATTCAATATTAGTCAATGTGTCTAGATTGGTACAATCGCTATACTCTAAAAGTTTGCTACAAAAATCGTTTCACTATAGATTACAAAAATTAAAATAAAGCTTAGTAAAAATAAAATAATTAATTAGTATTGTAAAAAAGATAAGGTACGTCTCCTTTGATGTACGGTAATTTATTTTGTATTAAATATTCATAATCCCGCAGAAAAAAAAAACAATCATATTAAGTGATAAACTATAAATAAAATAGATTTAAATGTCTTAACTGAAGGAACCAAAGCAATTTGGATTTTAAAATGTATTATTGTAAGCACAAGATCACCTATTGTTTGAAACTTTCCATAATCAAATGCATCATAGTTTTAATTTTTTTAAAGGAGTTTAAAATTAAAATACTCTGAAATTTCTTTGATTTCAAGTGTCTTTTACTGTTTTATTTTATTCAGATAATCCGCAAACACAACCTGATATAATACAATCTACATTATATCAAATCCATAAGTTAATTCAACGAAATTGTTATATTTCACGTTTACAACAGGTTACACTAAATAATTTTTATATTTGTTATATTGTTGATATAAATCTTAATAGCTGTAAGAATAAATGGAATTGTCTAAAATTTTATATGGTATATAATATCAGATATTGTTACTATTCAAACAACAATCTCGTCTACTCTTGTAGTGAACACATCCCGACTTGTACCCAGGGATTACATCGATGTTGGTTGTGAAATAGCAATGAGGACAAGCTATCTCCTTGTACCAGTGAATACCGTACACAGCTTTTATTTAATTCATTTATGAATTACATTTTTTTATTATAAGGGAAATCTTTATACACTGAACTTAGAAATAGAAATCGTGCAAAGGTTCTACATATACCATTTCATTTTTATAGAGTTTACTATTGTGCAAAATAATTTTGTTAAAACTATGATGTAAATTTACACAATACATCTTTTATGGATTAGTCAGGAGCATATAGTCAAAAGGTCACCGGTTCGTTCCAAACAATAGTCTGAAGTTTGTTGATAGTTGAAAACTGATTCAGAGAACCCTTAAATATTGGCGGTTTTTTTTCTAGGACGCTAGGCACGAGCCTGGAATTGTTTTTCACATCACTTCAAGCTAGACCTAGGGGCTGCGGCATTATCACTTAGATAAAATCCATTGGTGACTTGGTCCCTGAAGTCCCACGCTCTAACCACTAAGCCAGCTCACCCCCAAATATTGGCGGTTGGGATATTAATTAACTAAGAAATGGACTACCCAGGTCCAAACTAAATTAATAAAAAAATTGTACTTCTTAGAAAACCAGATTTTTCTAGTTAATAACCAAGTGATAATTTGATTCATTTTACAGTCATTATTCGAAATCACTTAAAATAATCCCGTAAGAAAATGTTAACGTCTGTAAAATGTTATTGAATATAATTTTAGCACTTAGATCAGTGAAACAGTAAATGTGTTTTACTCAAACTATGCCATATTGTTAACACTGTTAAACAAGTCATGTCAAACCATGCATCTAAAACTTTAAATGTTACATTTAATTGTTGGAAGTAGAACATTTGAATAACACTAACTACACTAATTACCAAACCAATGGAGTGTAGAGACAAAATTATTATTGTTCCGTATGTAGGTTATTTAAAAACGAACAAAATGCTCTTGACAAAATACTCGGTGCTTTCATTGAATAAAATAATTAGGCAGATAAACAGAAGGTAAGGAAGCTGGCATTGTAAACGTCGTCCACTTAAAGCTGTCAACCACACAAAGTCGCAGTCATTCCTACTGAGACTTCATCAAGCCACGCCATAGCTTGCACTGTGTTTCTGTTATTTATTTTTGTGAATAATTAAATGAAATTAAATGAATAACTATTTATTTTACCAGGCAAAGTTATTTAGTTAGTTTTACCAGTCAATAATAGTGTTCAATAACAAAACATGATGTGTGTACTGTATTTATGAACAATTGTACAAATGTCTTTGTTAAAACAATTTTTTTTAAATCATATGAATTATTATAATTAATTTTAAAAGGATTGATTGAATCATAATAATTTTAAAGTGGTTTTTCAGTCAGCAAATATATATATTTTTTGACTACCTGTATTGTACACAAGCAATTAAAGAAATAGGTAGTTTATTTGCTAAAGATTGAGATTTAACACTAACACTCTGTTTTGAAATCTGTTTTAAGAGAGCCTCTTCCAATAGTATAAACATTTACTTACAATTCCAAACTTGATCAATACGGTGAGGTATTTGTCTACGCACGAGCCGTAGCAAGTATACGTCCATAAATTCAACCCTTTTTTATGTTATCCAAACATTAAACTAAATGGAAAACGCTGCACAATCTAATCGTAATCGTAATATATTTAAGTGTTGCCAACTTATTCTCAAGAGTACACGTATTACGTGTCTAATGAAAGCACGGTGTTTTGTGTTGTTTGATTGGAATACTAGTGTGTGACAAGGTGACAACTGTGTGGCAAAGTTAGTAAATGCATCAATTAGCAGCTTTCTGTACTATAATCAGTAAAAGGAATACCACTTTGTCGGGTGACTGTAGAAAAATTATATTAGAACGCAATTACGAAATAATATGTTTGTCCGTGAAAAATAGAGGAAACTCAATTTTTGCCACATAAAACACGCCTTTCCCATACTGAAAACACAATTTAAAAAAATATTATTTTTACTATCAACACAATAATATGGGTAAATTACTATGGGTTTAAACGTTTGTACTAAATTCTAGAAAAAATATAGATCTTACTCAAAATATCGTAAGTATGGACACGCAATAAATGGATTATAACAAATGGTGTTTATTTTGGCCTATACTGCATAACAAATATTTTCCCGAGTTTTAATATTGGACCTATTCCCTAAATATAATTTGCTAAAATGAGAGCAAGTTTTTTTTTTATATTCACTAGCTGAATGATTTTAAATAACTTCAATACGTAATATAAAATTGTCAGTACCCCTACTGCAGACAATCTGCGGAATAAATGAATTTCCAATTGTTGACTTGGTCGGATTTTCACAAAAATATTTCCATATAAGTATTTTTTTTTTTTACTTAAATAGAATCAAGTATTACAAGTACTTCAAATCACTGCTAAATGGAAGGCAATAAAGTCTGTTTTTATTGAAATTATAATAGCTTATGCCCGAAAGAAATTTGGCAAATTCAATCTAAATATATTTATCATACTACAACAGTTGATACAGTTCTGTAATAATAACATAAAATTATTAATTTATTTTTTTTCTCG